ATCAATGGAATGTACCTTTTTTGCTTCCTTTACCTGATGTAATTCACTGCCCACAGGTCAAGCATCTTCGATGCTAAGGCAGGGATTGCTTTGAATGAGAAGTATGTGAAACTTGTTGCATGGTACGATAACGAAGTGGGTTACAGGTAAGGGTCCTTTCTTGATGATGTTTATTCTTAGTCTTGTTGATTGTATGCATCTGCTAATAACAAAAAAGTAGTAGTTGCTGCTTGTTATATTAAGCTATGAATTATTTTTCTTGCAGTACTCGCGTGGTTGATTTGATTGTCCACATGGCTTCAGTTAAAGCTTGAGGCTTCTTCCAATGAGATTGTGAAAGTGCAGCACTTCATGGTTCTGAGTTGAAACCTAGGATTTCTCTCGCCTGCCGAGTTTCTTGCAGTTTTTCCTAATGTCTGTGGAATAAGAGTTTCTTAATCGGACGTAATAGATTGTTTTTTTTTTTTTTCTGTTCCCTTTTTTTCACCATGTGAATCATCATGGTTGTGTTTATCACTTTTGAAGTGCTGAGATGTGGAAACTATTTTGGGAATTAGAAGATTCGGAATAAGTATTGTCTTTTTCCTGGTTTTTGTCGTGGATATATTATGTTCGTGCGGGTTTCTTCGGTGGTCGAAATTGTGTATAATCATCAGTTAGCAAGATTCCATTAACCAACAAAGTACCAAAGATGCGCTTGAGATGGCTAGCGGCTTATGTTTGCCCCTATATAATATCGGACGCCCACCCCACCCCCGAACAAACAAATGGCACAATTGTACGTGGAAGGGGTTTAGATTTCCAAGAAACTCGTTCCGATATGCCGAGGGGCAAAGGGGCCCGACCAGCTTATCCGAGTGGTATTAGTTACTTGGTGTTATAGCCGGATATTTCCACACAAAATAATTGAGACTAGTGGTTCTAATAATAGACCAGAAGCCATGGCTACATGACAATCCCTTCTTCTCGTGAGTTGGGACCATTTGTCCGCTATTTTCGTCAGTTCTTCGCATCAATTGATGCCTTAATGGACGCCAAATTGTTGGTTATTCTCTTCATTGACTCCTAACACGGAGCTCTCAGTTCCTCGAAGTCACTTTCGACTTTGTGCGAGAAATGGCGAAAAGATATATCCTCAAAATTGGGGTGCGGAGTCTCGGCATAAAGACACAGTGAATTTATCGATTACTGTACCTGTCAAAGTGTGCGGTATAGATATACATACACCTGCAAAGTTCGATGCGAGTTTATTTAGTTCTCGTAACTGTAGAACGCCGATATTAAGGTTGCTGAATCCACTTTGAATTTGGGGAGTTTATGTTCTGATTATCGTCTGAGTATTTTATGCTCTGAAATGCCTTTCTTGTTATTTCAAATGCCGTAGACAGAGCTTGGCTTCTTCGTTTTGTGGAATCTGACTTGAATGTCTTGTAGAAGTTAAAACACAAGTAAGTAAGACTCATCTTAGCCTTTGCGATGTTGTCGAGCTTCAAAATCTGCAGCACTTATAGCTCTTCTGAAAATATGAATCTCTGCGGAATGATTTAGAGTGATTGTAATTGGCTCTCCAATGAGTGTTAATATAACTCCATATCCTGTTTTTTTTTTTTTTTTTTTTTTGGGTGAAAGAATAAATGATGTGCCAATATCTTAGGAGAAGAATGAGGAGTATTTTGTTTTGGAGGCTCTGTGCAACATATAATCTGGCAAAAACAGACATATGCATATTTGGGGGCGTTTTGTTCAGTCGAAATCAATTCAGAAGGGCTAGGAGTCCATAAAAAGCTTGGGCCCAAGGTTTATCCCACTGCTCCGATGCACAGATAACAGCAACCCAACCCATCTTCAGCCGAACTCGGAACTACAGGTGAGATATTTTTAACAGTAACTGGAGCCGCAAAACTATCACGCCTTCTCCTACATCATACCCTAATGCACGCTTTCACTCCCCAACCAAGCATGAGCATGACGGTAGGTTGTAAGGCAACGGGTTTGAGCCCCTCTCTCCCCCTCCCTCCCCATCGTCAAAACAAGACAAGATTCTTGGAAGAGGGAGGTGGCAGGTGGTGCAAGGCTCATAAATTTAGGCAAGTAGTTAGTGACAAGATTGTGTGATCCAGAGTATAGAATAAATTATTTAATGTACTGTACTAATTAGAGCCCTCGTGACTGTCACAAATGCCATTGCCAGGTGCAGCAGCAACGGGTCACCTTCCCATGTCCGTCCGTCTGTCTATGTAACTCCCTCCCTTCCATATAGGCCTGTCAACGCACCGGAATTCATTATTTCAGATCCGGACCGGCATACTATATCGAATCCGGATCTGACCCATTTATCTGATGGGTCTTTTACTCTATGTTTCGGATTCGGATCCGACGGATCCCAGATCCGGATCCGGGTCTACCCGAAAAAAAACTAACAAAATTTATAATTCCTAACAAAAATGAGAAAAAAACATATATTTATAAACTAATTTCTAACTAATACAAAAAAATCAAATAAGAAATCAAATCAAATTAACCTTACTCAAATACATCACCCTAATCAAATTATATTGATTAGGATCCGGGTCCAATTATATTAATAAATATATATTTTTTAAATTATTAATCCATTTATATCCGGATTCGGATCCAATACGGGTCGGAATACTATATTCCGTATCCGACCCGTTTTTGTTTGACAAAACGGATCCGGATCCGGGTCCGGGTAACGGAATTAAATCCCTACTCATACCCGGATAAATTTGACGGATCCGATCCGGGACTCGGACCGTTGACAACCCTACTTCCATATCTAATGATACATAAGAGAATGACCGTACGTACCCTTCTTTTTCCTAGTTTCAAATCTTCTGTCCCCAAATTAGTCTCTATCTCTTCTTTGTACAACCGTAACGTGTCTCTAACTTTTTGATAACCCAAACTCAAGTAAACTGATAATAATCAGTTGATAAGTTTACTCAAAACTAAAACTTGCAGTCTTCTTCTTCATGCAAACTAGAGTTGAAGAAATTCTGATAGAGAACCACCGCTTGATTTATAAAAAAAAAATAGTTTTGAGTTATTGGAAACGCTTGATTTATCCAAAGGCAAAAAAGTTTTAAGTTATCTATTTTAATTGATTTTAAGTAAATTTGTTAACTGATTATTATCGGTTTGCTTGAGTTTGGGTTATCAAAAAGTTAAAGACACGTGGCAGCTGTACAAAGAAGGGATAAAGAGAATAGAGACTAATTTGAGAACAAAAAATTCGAAACCCTTTTTCCTACCACGACACAACAACACTACTAGTTAGCCTACTAAGACAGTAGGTACAAAACGAAGAGGGCCTATATATTATTATAATTTTTTGGTAATAAAAGAGACTATATATCGAAAAAACTTAAGTTACAAGTACAAAACGAGAAAAGTAAATTCCTTTAATATCTGCATCTAAGCATGAGGGACACTGTCATAGCACACAAAATTCATATATTATTGAGCATCCAATTTCGCCAATCTGTTAGTACACTGATTTGCTTTTCGATAGGTATGTTTAAGTGTGACTTTCGACAGAGTAGAAATCAGGAACCTGCAATCAGAGATAATTGAAGCATGCTCATAAGTTGAGGCATCTACTGATTTAAGCAAGTTTAGAGCAGTTTTAGCATCCCCTTTATTACACTCTGTACCTGGACGGTGCACATGATAATGTTCATCAGCATTGCCTGGTGGAGTTAGGTGGGAACTGGTAAGGATCCAATATTGGGTTCGTTTGTTGGCACAGAAAATCATACAGCCGCGAATGTAGCATTGGAATTTGACAAAGCCAAGAAACGAGAAGATGGTCGCAGTATATCTGATCTGATAAGGAAGCCTTTCAATGATGGAATAGAAAAGAATAGCGAGTTGTGGGACCTTTGATTAGCATGAACAATACAATGAAACGAAATTGATTAATAGGCCTGGAGAAATTTAGAAAAATTTTATTTTATGAAAATATATCAATTTTCCTCGATTACTAATGCCAAAAAACATCATGTCTTTGGACAGGTAACCCAACTCTATATATTTCCTAAATTAACTTTAACACCAATTCTAATCTAGGTACCAAATAATAAATCAACTTCTTAAAAAAAAATTTAGAATTCTAGATAGCTTGATTTAATAATTTTTTGCCAACAAAAAGTGTCTCTTTTTCCCCTTCATATGTTGGTATAACTAACGGGGTGAAGCTGCTCCTTGTGCTGCCAATTAACGTGCCAGATTTTAATAATAACGCATGACAGCTGCCAACATTGCAATGGAATTAAAATGTTAGATAATGCAGCACATGAGCCCAGAGTTGACAGATCACAAGATTAATAGTAATTGGATGTGTGAATTCTCTGTGTTGAGGAAGTAGATCAGAAGAAAATCAATCACCATTTACTAATACTGCTTCAGTGAGTATCAATTTTACACTCTCAAATATTCATCTCTTAACTGATAATTGCAGTCGGTATATGTCGAAAATACCCTCATAGGCACTTTAAAATATCATACTATATCAAAGCATAATCTATACTTTAACTGCAACAAGCAATGTACATTGTCGCACAGTCGCACTAGCATTTGAAAAAATTACTATGCTACATTTTTAGAATGCGATACAAAATAATAATTAAAAAATATATATATATATAAAAGATACCTACGGAAAGCTGAAAAATTTTCTCTAAAACATTATTGTAATCCAAATAAGTTCTAAAGCTATTTCTAAATAGAGAATGAGCTCGAAAATATAATCGGTGTCACTATCAACAAAGATTGACTTGCTAGGCAACTATTGTGATAAGCCTAGGGGGTCTCAAAAAGCTTCAAATCCTTGCAAATTCTCATCAGTTGTCTGATACGGGTCAGCCTTCATCTTCCTGTTCACGTCACGAGTAAGAACCAGAAGGCTGAAAGCTCTACATGCTATTCAGTGAGCTGCGCATTTAAAGATGGAATCTTGAAAACATCATGATGGGCAGGGGGACCTATCTAATTTTCACTTAATTTTCTTTGTTCACAGAAATAATAGAACCCCGTAAAAAATCTATCCCCAAACGTGTGGTCTTTTCCCTTTTGTTCTCATCTATAGACTGTTGCATAAAGTTGGAATCTTTTTCGCTCCAAAGTCCTAACCTTTTCCCTCGTTTTCCCTCTTTCTGAGTGGGCATCACCTTCCCCGACCTTTCTCCTGTTCTTGGCTTGTAGTACTGGTAGTACATACTAATTAGATTTCTTGTGAAATTCTGTGTGATTCCTCGTTTTTTAAGTAATTTTGTCCGATTGTCCCGTACCTTTTTATCTTTCCACATAAATTTGCTTGGTTGAACTCTTCCATAAAAGTTCTTCTTGAATCTTGCGAGTTATTCTATCTAGACTCGTAAAATTTTGTGCATTTCATTGGTTACATCACTTTCTCACAGATACTCTCTGTCATCCATTAGTCCTTGGTGAACCTTATCTTAGCAAAATCTTAGCTTTTTTTTCTTTTATTTTCGCCTCCGAATTCAAGACTGTGTTTAACCATCATATGCTGTGAATTTTCTTTCTTTTTTGATGCAATGCCTCCTACATGCTTCCCCTTGAGGTGGGAGAGCACTGGAGATCAGTGGTGGTTTGCATCCCCAATTGACTGGGCAGCTGCCAATGGTCACTATGATCTGGTCAGAGAGCTCCTTCATCTTGACACCAATCTACTAATCAAACTTACGTCTCTTCGTAGAATTCGCCGCCTCGAAACTGTGTGGGATGATGAGGAAAACTTTGACGATGTTGCCAAATGTAGGTCCCAAGTTGCTAGACAACTCCTGCTCGAGTGTGAAACCAAGAAAGGCCAAAATTCCCTGATCAGAGCTGGCTATGGTGGTTGGCTTCTTTATACTGCCGCCTCAGCTGGAGATGTTGGATTTGTCAAAGAATTGTTGGGTAGAGATCCCTTTTTGGTGTTTGGAGAAGGAGAATATGGTGTTGCTGATATACTCTATGCTGCTGCCAGGAGTAAGAACTCGGAGGTTTTTAGGCTACTGTTGGATTATTCTCTCTCGCGAAGGGATTCTGTAAATGGTGGACAGGAAGTGGAGGTGCAGCCACAAGAAGTTTCATCTGTTTTCAAGTGGGAAATGATGAATAGGGCCGTTCATGCTGCTGCAAGAGGAGGCAATGTGGAGATGTTGAGAGAACTTCTTGTGGACTGTTCAGATGTTTTGGCTTATAGAGATGCTCAAGGTTCTACTGTCCTGCATACAGCCTCTGGCAGAGGCCAGGTTGAGGTCAGTTCGTTTATTATGTCCTCCGTCTATATCCTTGTTTCTCAAACTGTTATTAGCTTCATGCTTCTTATTTCATATCTGTTGCTTGATGCCTGAGTCTCCTAAATAGCTTATGATTACCATTACTTGTATCTTATATTGTGAATTCCAATTTGGTCAAAGAGTTCTATGCTATAATCGTCTGGATTTCACAATGGTGCTCGTCTGAAGCTTCCAACAAGCTAAATCAATGCAGAAACTTGTTACCATACATGACGCTCCTATTTTGTCAATGTAGTGATGGTGGAGAGGGCATAAAATGACTTTAAAGGAAACCACATGTTCCAATTCTAAGAAATTGACTGCACGTTCCAAACGTAAAGCTGGCTTTACCCCTGCTTTTGACTTTTCCCTTGAATGCAGAAATATTTGCTGGCTTCAAGTTTATCTAGGAACTATATTTATAGAATTAAGGTTTGTGAACAAACTGATGGCTTAATGTAACCATTTGTGGTGATGTTGATAAAAGCTAATGTTTCACCTAATAGTCGCTTTTTACCATTTCTAAGGATGATACATGTGCAGTGGAAGGTGGATTAAGTATGGCATAAGTGCCCAATTATTATAACAGAGCGGTACATAGTAAAAATTTGATTGAGATTGGTGATTTCTTGGCCTACACATCAATTTGGTTAAGCTTTCTGGTGGAGCCAGCTGTCTACTAATAGATGTCCTGTGGCTTTGAGCATTATGCTTCTTTTTTATGGCATGATCTCAGATTTAATAAGTAACTCAATTCCTTTGCGAGAGAGTTGAATAGGGCTGTGGTGCTCCCTATATGCCACCTGCTGAAAACATAAATTTAGTTAGAATTCCTATCAAAGGAATTTTGTGAAGTCCTTGAAAAATGAGGCTTGGGTTCCCTGGCAATCACAGTAATGATGTCAAGGCAAAATCCGGCCAGAAGCAAATAGACTTCAGTAAGCATTTTATATTTCTGCTGAGACCCACAAATATCCTTCTTTTTCTTTTCTCTGCCTTCTCATGATTGCAGAGTGCAACTATAGCTTACGACATCATAGGTTCTGATGAAGAGAAAAACATAAAGCCCTGTTTACATTTACTCTCCTTGATAAAATCATAGAAAGTCGCTGCTTATGAGACATGTATGTAGGATAGAAGGTACCAATGGACTGCCAAGTGATGTGCCAATTTGAGCTGTACTATGATGAATCTTATTTCAGCTTCTTGCACCTTTTACGTTGTCGCTTGAAAAGCAAGCATTATCAGTGTTCAAGACCTATATATATCTTGTAGAATCTAGGCTTTACTTCAAAGCTGTCATTTCAGCTTAAGCCTGTCTGTTAATCTGCAAGTTAAATGATCTCAAAATGCCAGTTGTTGAGATTACTTGTTCTTTTGGCTTAATGCAGTTGGTTAAAAGTTTACTAGTATCCTATGATATGATCAAGTCCACTGATAATCAAGGGAACACTGCGCTAAATGTGGCTGCCTACAGGGGTCACTTAGCTGTTGTGGAGGTTCTTGTATCTTCATCTCCCTCAACCAGCTCAATGAAGAATAATTATGGAGATACTTTTCTTCACATGGCAGTGGCAGGCTTCAGAAGCCCGGGATTTCGAAGACTAGATCGACAGATAGAGCTTATGACGCAGTTGGTACGTGGCAAACTTGCTGCTAACATAGAAGATATTATCAATGTCAGGAACAATGATGGTAGAACTGCTCTTCACATGGCAGTGATCGAGAACATTCAATCGAATTTGGTGGAACTCCTTATGTCAGTACCTGGAATAAATTTAAACATCCGGGATGCTGATGGCAATACCCCATTGGATCTCCTCAAACAGCGACCCCAGTCAGCATCTTCTGAGATATTAATCAAAAGGCTGATTTCTGCTGGAGGAATTTCAAATTGTCAAGACCGTAGGACAAGAAATGCACTCGTTTCTCATTTGAAAATGCAGGGTATTGGAGGCAGTCCAGGAACATCGTTTAGAATTCCTGATGCAGAGATATTTCTGTACACTGGAAATGAAAATGCATCTGATGCAGGAACTGATATTGCAAGCACAGAGTATGACATGCGCTCAGGTGAACTAAGTTATTGTGGTTCCGCTGCTGGGTCCAACTCATATAAGACGAAGTCTGGTTCTGTAAATAGTGCTGCAAGGCACCTGAAGCTACTTCTCTACTTCCCTAGGAGGAAAGCGAGAAAAACGGAAGAGAATGCCAACTTGGAAGAGAATGCTTCTGTCGAATCATACAGAATTTCAAGTCCAGAAGTAAAACCAATCCCACTTAGGCAGAGATTTTCAAAAACGACGTCTTCTTTGTCAACAAACAAGAGAATAGTCGCCATGCCGAATAGTCTTCCAAGTCCATCCACGAAGAAGAAGTTTGCCGCAGGGCTAATGCATGGTGTCATACAGGTAAAGAGGCATTTATCTTTTGCTGCGCCTTCAAGTCCCTTCTCTGAATCTTCCTGGTCATCTCCAATATCTACTGATGGAGAAAGGGAATTAAACCATGGAAATGGTCGTTCATCACTCTCCGGCTTCAACCATTCACCCAAGATGGATAAAATGAAAATGAAGCGCCTCCAGTCATCGTTTAACGTGAAGATGATGAACCAGTATTTGTGTTTCGGAGCTCAAGGTCTAGCTGCGGATGATTCAACGAGCTCTACACAGCAAGGTGAGACTCGCAAGAATCCAGTTCATTGATGAGTTTGTCTTTGTACAAGTGCTTTGGTAGAGGACCCTTTACTCAGTAGTCGGGAAGTTACATTTAACCCTGTAAATGCTTCATTTCATGCTCATATCTGCTGTTACTGATTTTTGTAGCTTGCCTATATTCAAGCATGTTTGATCCTCCATTTTCTCCCATCTAAACCCCCATTAAACACACCAACATAATTTTTTTTTTCTCCTCCGAGTCAAATTCATGCGTCCAGTGGAAAAGGGTCAACAATCATAGATGCCTTGGAATGAAAGGTGGAATGAAAGGCGGGATGTTCTTGTAGACCTCAATGAAACGCCTTTAGTTGAAACCGAAGGCGTTGCTCCGCCGTTTCCGCGAACTGAGCTGGGCTGTGACGTTGTGCGGAGCGTACCACATTTGCTATTTCGGCCCAAATATTATATAGGCCTTGGAATTCTTTTTGCAGCTGCTATAAAATAAAAGGAAAATAGAAGAAAGAAAAAGTATCTCTAATAAAATAAAACCACAAATTAAGAGGAATTTTGACATACTTTAAAGTACCCCCCCCCAAAAAAAAAAAACTGTTTCGGTGATGTTGTAGATTGCTATTCATATTGGGGCATCATCAATTCCTTATGACTTAATCTCTTGAAAGTGTTATTCTTTTTTTTTTTTTTGGAGCAGATTAACCTCTCTTGACAGTTTCTTTGATATTCCATTTTTGAACATGAATAGAATTATTTTCCATTTTTTGAAACCAACCAAACAAAACATGGATGGAATCATGATCCATTTTATGAAGCGAACCAAATAAAATAAGAGCGCGTGGCAGTCAAATCTTTAATCAAATTTCCTTCGCAATAGCTATCCACTTGATGTTAGGACTAGTTAGTTATTAGTCATTAATCCCTTTCTATTATTAGTTTTGTTACTATATCTTTATCAATCTTTGTAGTTGAAGGATTGATACTACTCTTTTGGTTCCATTTTTTTTTTGGAAACCAACCAAATAGAACATGATAGAATTATTTTCCATTTTTTGAAAAACACGGACAGAACTATTTTCCTTTTTTTTTTTTTGAAACGAGCCAAATAAAACAAGCGCGTGGAAGTCAAATCTTCAAATCTTTCTTAACAATAGCCAATCCAGGTCAAATCTTCCTTAGGAATAGCCATTCAACTTGGTGTTAAGACCAATAAGTTAGTTATTAGTCATTAATGGATAATAGAATCCAACCCGACAACTCTTCCGCTAGGCCAACTTCAACTTTCTAAAAAAGTTGACTGATACTGTGGCCCGTTTAATAAGTGAATTTTTTTGGGTATTTGTCTAAAACTTTACTGTAACTTATTGTAGAGACTTTTTAAAAATTTTTTGAAGTGCGTTTTTTTAATATTTTGAAGTGTATAGTTTAAAAATTTTGAAAAATTTTTGAGGTTACTATAGGTAAAGTTTTTAAAAAACTTGTAGCAGACAAACTTGTTAGCCAAACAAGGCCTATATATCTTTATCAATCAATATCTTTCGTCGTTGAAGGATTGATACTACTCTTTTATAAGTACATTTGTTGAGATCAGAGGGGAAATTCAGTATACGGCTATGGACAATCAATTACCACTGAAGACTGCAGAAGAGAAAGCCATTGAAGACTGGCTTCCAGTCAGTTCCGTTCGGAAATCCAAGTGGTGGTACTCGGCTTTTCACAATGTCACGGCCATGGTAGGAGCCGGGGTCCTTGGCCTCCCATACGCCCTGTCACAACTTGGATGGTATGCTTCACTACGTACTTTCAACTTTGTACACATGATTTAATTTGCTGTTTAAGTAATTAAGAAGGAAAACTATATTCATCAGAGAAGGACTAGATGTACATATTACTTGTTCAACGCTAAACTGCTTGTAGATTTTCTTGGTGCCGGCCAGAAATGATTTTACTTTGATTGCAATTTGATTGGAGAAGATATTTACTAATGGTTGTTTATTATTTGTGTTTTGGACTTTTGATACTAGTAGACCATGTGCAGTGTTAGGAGGTTTTTGTTTTTTTTTGTTTTTTCTTTGGCTAAATTGTTAGCTAGGGGTTTTGTTGCATTATTCTATTTCTTTCATGTTATGAAAAACACATATTGAATGGACTGCGGATTTACAGCATAAATATTCTCAAAATATCTTGCTAGAGTAAACACATAATTAATAAATTATTCCACTGACAAGTCACGGCAAAAGACTAAACTTAAACCTTCGCAAAGTCCCCAGTTCCCCATTAATTTGTTCCCAACATGTAGGGGTCCTGGTGTGACCATGCTGGCGATTTCGTGGATTATAACGTTGTTCACCCTGTGGCAAATGGTGGAGATGCACGAGATGGTTCCTGGTAAGAGGTTTGATAGGTACCATGAACTAGGTCAGCATGCATTTGGAGAGAAACTTGGACTTTGGATCGTCGTACCCCAACAGCTTCTGGTCCAAGTTAGTACGTGCATAGTCTACATGGTTACCGGCGGAAAATCACTCAAGAAGTTCCATGATATTGTCTGTCCACCTCCAAGATGTCAGGATATTAGGCTCACCTACTTCATCTTGATCTTCGCTTCCGTTCATTTTGTTATCTCTCATCTTCCCAACTTCCATTCACTGGCTATCATCTCCTTCTCAGCGGCTGTAATGTCCCTGAGGTAAATCCAACTTCTAAATTTCGAAACCGAAGCTGTTACCCATCTCGTCAATTTTGATTTTCTTTTATGATTGATGATACAGTGACGAGTTTAAGTGTACGTACGCCACCTAATTTTAATTTCAATTTGAGCATTTTGACGAATATCTAGATCCATCCGATAGTATACACGCACGCTATTTTTGTCAATACAAGAAATGATCGATGATAAGAACTTTTCCTATAATTAATACTGTGACGATTGCAGTTACTCTACTATTGCATGGGTGACTTCGCTGTTTAAGGGACAAATACCAAACGTGAGCTACGTTCCGAGAGGATCAACCGCAGCTGGAAAAACTTTTAACTTCCTCAATGCACTGGGGGACGTAGCTTTTGCGTATGCGGGGCATAATGTCGTGTTGGAAATTCAGGCGACGATTCCTTCAACCCCTGATAAACCATCCAAGAAACCCATGTGGAAGGGAGTAGTTCTTGCTTACTTTGTTGTTGCCCTGTGTTATTTCCCAGTTGCGATATGTGGGTATTACGCATATGGGAATGAAATTGAAGACAACGTTCTTATTACGCTGCAAAAACCGTCATGGCTCGTTGCAGCCGCTAATATGTTTGTGGTTATACATGTCATTGGAAGCTATCAGGTTACTAGCTAAAATCTGATTTTATGTTACCTAAAAAAAATATATCTGATTTAATTCGACAGAGTGTACGCTTACTATTTTATTGTATTCTTTCATTATCTTTGTGGGAGACTATAATTAGTTGTTAATTAATATCCTCCCTTCGGTTTTTTCAAATAAATGCAGGTTTATGCTATGCCAGTTTTTGACTCGCTGGAAAGCGTTTTGGTGAAGTCATTACGCTTTAAACCTTCAAATAAACTTCGTTTTGTCACTCGAATGCTGTATGTAGGTAAGTGCTATCAAATAATCCAACATTTGTTTTATTTCTCTTTAACTTTTTTGGGCTAATTTAACTTCTTTTCAATAGCGATGATTAATTACCTTCATCCATAAATTTTTTTTTTTTTTGTTAATTTGCCACCTGCATTACAATTACAAAATTCCAAAGGTGATGTGACAAGAGATATACTCAATGCATAATGAAATGTTGGCCTAATTAACTTCCTCCGTACATTATTCAATTCACTCCTTGGTGATTATCGCATGTTGCGATGTGAACCTTTAATGTTTATTTAGTTGTGAACCTTTAATGTTTGAGTGCAAATTTAGTTGACCCGGCCTGCAACTCCCAACCATTGCAGCTGTGACCATGTTAATTGGCATGGCAATCCCCTTCTTCGGAGGACTAATGGGATTTTTTGGCGGATTTGCTTTGGCCCCAACATCATTCTATGTAAGTCGGCTCACGTAGCAACATGGATCAGTTGTATATATGCTATCGAAGCCATTTTAACATTACCTTGGCTTTTCGCAGCTTCCATGTATTATTTGGCTCATTCTTTACAAACCAAAGAGGTTCAGCCTTTCTTGGATCATAAATTGGGTATGTTCCAAGTCGACACCACTCCTTATAGTCGCTATTATAAGCTTACAGCAGCAGCAGCAGCAGAATAATTATGTAGTCTGTTTTGTGTTTGTTGATTCGTAAATTTCAGATCCTCATAGTATTTGGCGTTCTCCTGATGCTTCTCTCCCCCATTGGCGGTCTAAGGTCTATCATCCTATCCGCCAAGTCATACAAAGTGTTCTCCTAATCGAATATGAATTAGTTCTCTTCAAGGGAAGGTACTCCTAATTAATCTTTACTTATTAATTGAACTAGAAAAAGTAGATATTAGTGGGAACTTGATTGTCTCCCAGTTGAAATCAATAGTTTCGTTTTCCTTGTTTGGTTCTGGAGATGTCGTATATTTAGAGTAGTTTAATTTGCCCGAGTTTGTTTATGGGCAATCTGATATTATAGATTATTGTCCAATTCTCGCTAGGTAATTAATTATGTTTTGGACCAAGTGTAATTTGTAAACCATTTACATTATTGTTTTCTTTGGTCTAAGTACATTAGTATTGCATTTTCCATAGATTAGGCACGCATAACTCTTTTCTCTTTTCCTTTTTTTTTTTTTAAAAAAAAATTTTGGAGAGACGTGCGCGCGCAAATATATATATATATATATGAATGTATATATGTATGGGGGCTAAATTGATACGTTAATGATCATCCTAGAAGCATCAAACGCCATATTAGCCACACAAGTCAAACCAATGCTAAATTGGAGAATTTCGTGCATTTATAATACTATTTTTACAACACACAAGCTCCCTCCTGTTGTCGAATATGCAGAAAATAAAGGCAAGCCGCCAACTCTCATGAGAGAATCTCTCTATGAACCAAATCAATTTTGGTAATCAAAGCCCTTCAATTCTACGTCCTTAACCAAGTATAAAAAGCCAGGTCTCTTCACCTATAAGGATTTACATCATTCTGTCGTTGGATTGAGAAATCTCATCTCAACTCCTTTTCATGCTCAGCCTGTTTCCTTCCCGAAAAATTTCCTGGACTCCCTAATTAAGTGTATATCTACATTTGTTGTGTTCGGAAGGGGAAACATGACGACCCATAATCAACCACAGAATGATGCCAGAACCGCAGAAGAGAAAGCCATCGATGAATGGCTCCCAGTCACTTCTGAACGGAAAGCCACGTGGTGGTACTCGGCTTTTCACAATATCACGGCCATGGTTGGAGCTGGGGTCCTCGGTCTCCCTTATGCCATGTCCGAACTCGGCTGGTATGTTAATTCTCAGCTGATTCTGGGCTGGATTGGTTAATCAATCATGCATATACCTGCACCTTAAATGCTACTACACACTCAAGCAACACCTCTCAATACTTAAATTAATAATGTAACATGCAAAATTCATCGGTACCATGTTTCCTTATCCTTTATCACTTCATTAATTTTAGACATAATTAATTTTGTTGTTGTACTTGTGATTCGTTGTGATTTGCGGGTTATTGCTGGTATCGAATACTAAGTTTATCCTATGCCAGTTGCGTGGTTAAAGGTTCCCACATGTCATTGAAGAAATTAAAGCAACCAAATGCTACATTTTTTAAACACAGAAGAATTATTGAAACCTGCTGCTAGATATGCTTTTTTTTTGTGGCTTAATCAATTTGAAATTCATGTGATTCGATGGGATTTTTTTTAAAATTTTTTTTATCGTGTTAAGATTTAGTAATACTTTTATTTTCTTTCTATCGTGGAATAGTAAGATATGCTCTGAAGGTATTCTTTTCACGGAATAAGAGTATAATCTATTTTGGTAGTTTCTTAATTGAATCGCCATTTTTCTAATTGATAGGACAATTTCTTTAACTTGTTCGAGATGACATCATTATTTTCGATACAATTTTCAATTCGCTGTGGATTGTATTGAAAATCCGCACATTGATTGTTTGGATTGCATTTTTCTGGACTTTTTGTAGAAAAATTATCGTAGCGATTTGATATATGTGAGGTAAAAGAGTGATTAAAAAATGTGTCTACGAAAAACGTAACAAAAGTTGCAATCTAATTACACCCTTAATATTGGTCGGAGCTCTCAGTGATGCTTAGAGAATTGGGCTAATCTTTGGCAATTTACATTCAAGGACACCGTTATGGGTCCTAACATAGGACCAAATGTTGGCAATTTAATTTCCAAGCAAATGATCCTAAGGAAATAGCAAAAGATTTGTGGCACTATTTGGCTATTTGCATGGCATATCATAGAAAACGTAAGACACACGGAAAAAGCAAATTAATGGCACAAGTTCAACCAGCATAGTTAATAAAGTTTTGAACCAATACATCATTTTTTTTGGGGGGGGTTTTCATGAACATATCTGTATCCTACCAAAATCATCAATCAAACTTTGCCAAATAAATACTCTTCATTTGTTTTTCGAATACGTAGCATAATTAGTTGAAGTGAATGGTGTGTTAATGCTTTTGAAAAATGTAGGGGTCCCGGTGTAACCATAATGATTCTTTCATGGGTCATCACCTTGTACACCCTGTGGCAAATGGTGGAGATGCACGAGATGGTTCCTGGTAAGAGGTTTGATAGGTACCATGAGCTAGGTCAGCATGCATTTGGTGAAAAGCTCGGGCTTTGGATCGTCGTACCCCAACAAGTCGTGGTCGAAGTCAGTACATGCATTGTCTACATGGTTACCGGGGGAAAATCACTCAAGAAGTTCCATGATATTGTCTGTCCACCGCCCAAGTGCCAAGATATTAGGCTCACCTTCTTCATCATGATCTTCGCTTCCGTCCATTTTGTCATCTCTCATCTTCCCAACTTCCATTCCTTGTCTCTTATCTCCTTGTCCGCAGCTGTAATGTCCTTGAGGTAAATTCATCATCGACCTTTAAATTTCAAGTACATATGATCATGAGGTCAATTCTGATATATAAGTTATATTTTTGCTTCAACTTAATTCTTAGAGTCCATATATTCCCACCACCACAAAAAAAAATCTTCAGAAAGGTGGGCTATCTTTACAAGCCAGAATTCTTTTGCAAATGAACCTTGGAATAATTAATTTTTAATTTTTTTTAAAAAAATAGCTATGTTTGTAAGAATTTTATTTAATTAATTAATGACCCGATCATGGGTGGTGCAGTTACTCTACTATTGCTTGGGTGGCTTCAGTGACTAAGGGGCAAGAAGCGGATGTGAACTATGGTCCAAGAGAGACAAGTACAACTGCAATTACTCTCAGCTCTTTTAATGCTTTGGGAGATGTTGCCTTTGCCTTTGCAGGTCATAATGTGGTGTTGGAAATCCAAGCAACAATTCCTTCGACTCCTGATAAGCCTTCAAAGAAACCAATGTGGAGAGGAGTAATCCTTGCCTACTTGGTTGTTGCCTTGTGTTACTTCCCAGTTGCATTTTCCGGTTACTACTCCTTTGGGAACAAAGTTGATGACAACATTCTGGTTACCCTGCAAAAACCTTCATGGCTCATTGCCACTGCAAACATGTTCGTCGTGGTCCATGTCATAGGAAGCTATCAGGTTAATCCATTGTTTCTTCAAATTAAAAATTCTCATTTGATTTCCTTAAATATGCATGTAATAAGCTGTCGATTGAGGTCTTTGTGGAAGGAAGAAGAAGAGCAATATTATTATTATTATTATTATTATTTTTGGGTTAAAGTTCTCTCTTAATTTGGTCGACTAATAAATTAAATGCAGGTATACGCCATGCCAGTTTTTGACATGCTAGAAACATTCTTGGTGAAGAAACTACGCTTCAAACCTTCGACTGTGCTTCGCTTTACCACTCGTACTATTTATGTTGGTAAGTGCACTCATGTGATATAGGTTGTTAAGTACTTTAAGTGTGCAGTGAAATGAGAAATCATCTCAGGTGCATTGTAGAGAAACACGTAAAGAAAATCTAATCCTAGCACACACAATCTAGGGAATTGCATGCTCTTCACTAGTGTAATTGCTTGACCGATGTGTTTCGTTGTTTTTCTTTTAAATTTAACACTAATTCTTGGGATTATTCAACGACCTTGGACTTCCATCTCACTGCAGGTGTGACCATGTTCGTTGCCATTGCTGTCCCCTTCTTTGGAGGCTTAATGGGATTCTTCGGTGGCCTTGCTTTGGCCCCAACAACGTACTACGTAAGTCAAGTCATTTGACCTCTTTCATGCCGTTGCAATTTGCAACTTTTGCCACCATTTCCATCTATCTATTAGAATTCAACTGAATTCACTACTTTCCTTTGTTTTTTGTGTTCTTGGTAGCTTCCCTGCATTATGTGGCTCGTCCTCTACAAACCAAAGAGGTTCGGCTTGTCTTGGTGTGCAAATTGGGTACGTTTTTAAGTCCAGATACTCGCATCAAATAGAGTACAACCTTATACTTCCTTATTTTTCTTGTGATCTCCTTTTGTCTTGTCCTCCTTCTATTTGGCTAACTTGGACTGATTGATCTATGAACTATTTCAGGTCTGCATCGTGGTCGGCATTGTCCTGATGATTCTAGCACCTATTGGCGGTCTAAGGTCCATCATCCTATCAGCCAAGAACTACAAAATGTTCTCTTAAATAATGTCAATCTTCAAGTAACCAAAGATCCAACAAAACAAAACCCTTTGCTTATTTGAGGTCAAAACCGATGATGATGAGGATTTCAACCGGAGTACCTTGCCCTTACTCCTGGTTGAAATGTTTATGGCTCTGTCGAGTGAGAGACAATGACAGTCGTCTGCTGAAGTCTGTTAATGGGGCAATCTCTTTCGTATGCATAGCTAGTCACAGTGAGTAGAAATGCAATTGTGTCGAAGAAATTATGGTGTGCATTTACGTAGTTTCATTTCTAGATTTGTTAAGGTTTCAGATGCATATAATGCATCGGCTTGTGTATATACTGGTGAAAGGACAATATCGTGCTGTTGTAAATATGTGTCCGTGTATTGTTGTCTTTCAAGTTAATCAAAAGGAGTAATCATATATATATATATATATATAAAATAAAGTCGTATCCTCATTCTTATCCCTTCATGTTTTCTCTTTCCTACGTGGCTTAACGAGACGGCAGGTAGTTTCCTAATAGGATTCTTAATAAATCATATATATATATATAATAAAGTCTTATTCTCATCCTTATCTTTTTAGTTTATCTCTTTCCTATGTGGCTTATCGACATAGCAAGTAGGTGCAACGCACTCTATGAGTCAACCCCTAATAACTTACGCTATTCTATCCCTCTTTTTTCTCTTGACTTTGCAATTCTAGATAATCCTTCCATAATTATCTCTTCCATTCTCTCACCTTTTTTTCCCTTAACCCTAATCGTCAAGCCTAAATTTCCAGGGGATTAGTATAAATAATTTTGAATTATGTTTTTAACTCTCTCTCATCTTCAACTCAAAAGTTAGAAATATCAATTCAAATATTAGATTATCTTTATCAGATTATCGCTATCGAAGATACTCTACATTTTTACTCATATATATGGTTATCGATCTATTACTTATCACTTTATCAATCAATGCAGATGTTTACACTTTTCCACAATGTTTTTGGAATTTTTTTTTTTCAATGCAAGGACCGCATTTGGAACTTCATTTTTATTCCCTTCAATGCAAGGATCGCATTTGGACTTTGTTTGTGCTCACTGTATATGGTCTGTAATTTCCTACAACTTTTTCATAGCTGGGTCATTGAATTTGAATTTTCTAAGTCTTCAAAAGTTACAGTTTGATTTTTATTTCTGGCAAGGTTTTTGTAATTAATTTGTTATTTCAATTTATGGATTCACTCTTCAATTCAAGTAGAACAAATATTGTTTTTTTGGTTAGTAATTTAAAAGTGACCTTTTAAACTATGTGTTTTCACACGATTTTTTAATTGCCTTTGACAATTTATTAATTGTCTTCAACAACGTATTAAATTTTTTTATTTTCTGGGTTTTTGGGGTTAAAAAAATTTTGTGCAGTTTTCAATGTTTTTTTTAAGACTTTGATAGAAAGCTTTTAAAGAACAAGAAGGTGTCATTGATTACATAAATGACAACGCATCAAATTCATTGTTATACAGCAGTTCACGTCATGCAATATACATCAGATTTTTTAGATTTTTTATGTTTTTGACTTAATAGCAAAATACATCTTATGTTTTCGTTTTGGTTTCTATTAGTCATGAACAGATTTAGAAGGTTGCTATGTTCATGTGACTTGATTGATTCTAAATTTTTATCCTTTATTAATATTTTATTCGGTTTCTTTTCTTTTCATATTAACCTTTAAGTCATTTATATTAAGTACCAAAATTGATGTTTTGGTTACGGGTTGGCCATTCTTTTGTTTACATAAGATCAGCCAAGATTTGATCTTCCCTATTTTCAAGTTTTTGAATGTCATCATATTGTCGATTTTTTTTTTTTGCATTTTGAATTATTAATCACTGAATTAGATGTTTAAATTTACATTATAAGACTATTTTTGAATAACAATGTATTTAAGAAAGGTTATAATAGATTATACAATAAGTTTGTATTTTATGAAAATATTTTTATGAACTACACTAAATAATTTATTATTTTTAGACAATTCCCATTCAACGAATGGGTACAAAACTAGTTTATTTATAAATGCTTGGTTTCTTTTGTTGAAATTTATTTCAAGGCCGCTCCCTCATGCATAAAGGTGTCAAAAGAGGTGAGTCGAATGAATTTAGACGGGTCATAATTGAGTAATGGGTGTAATTGAATTAATTCATTTATATCCATTTAATAAATGGGTATGAATATGCCCAATCAGTCATTTATGAGTCACTTAAAAAAAATATATTTTTTAATTTTTTCGCATGTTGTTTTGACCAGAAATGAAGGTATTTTATTATTATTAGATTGATAAGAAATTTAAATTTATTTGCTTAACACTTGCAAAAAGTTAAATTTAAATATATAATTATTTTTAGATAGGTATAAATGAGTGAGTCAAGTCAACTCACTATCCAATTGGGTATTCATTTAGGCCCATTCAAAATTAATAAGTGGGTTTGGACAGGTTATTGGCGAGCAGGTTTGGATGTATCAAACATAATTGAATTGTAATTGATACTTCTACTCGTCCATCATATTAAAAGGTATTTCCTAAATGGTTACGTTCCTTATGAACATGAAAATTGAGCTGTTAAGTCTTTTGGCCTCACTAAACACCTCTAGATTTTTCTTAGCCTTAATTAAGCGGTCCATGCAAAAATCAGTAGGATCAAAGAAAACATACAAAAGAATTAGCCGAGTGAGGTGAAGTTCTTAGTTCAACATTCAGGTCCTCCCCTTTTTCATTCTCCCTATTCTTCCTTGCAAAATTTGAAAATTCCTATTAGATTTTAAAAACGGAAAATAAATTCAACTTTTCTTTTCCCCGTCACAATACTCTTTCATACAAACAAACCATTCAACTACTAGCAATCTCCCAATCATACAAACTTTATGTCTTAAAGCCTTTCCATTTGTTTGTCACAAAAGTGTAGTTTGACTACGTTGACAACAAGCACAGGAATGATTTGGGTTCATGTGTATCTCGTTGTTGGAGTTTTAACAAACTCGAGAAAAGCCTATTTTGATGCAAAAGCCCAATCAGGCTTGTAGTCTCATAAGGGCAGCCTTTTCTCACCAATGGCCCAATCAAGTCAACCTCCCACATCCTGAATGGTACTCACGCAATAAAGGAAAATCACCTGGGGTATAAATGGCATAAGGAAATGCTCATGCTCCACTGTCTCCATCTATTTGGAGGCAATCTTTTTCCCGCCATTATTAACCTTCAGAAAAAGAAAAAGAGCAAAACCCTCTGTTAAGTGTTAACCTCTGGTTGAAACCCTAATCCACCATGGAAGAAGAAATCAGAGCAGAGTTTAAGAAGAGCGGCTTCACCTTCGATGACGAAGAAGAGATTCTCAAGAAATGTAAGATTGTTTTGTTTTTAATTCTGAATTTATCCTAATTTGCTTCCAATCTTGAGTTTCCTTTGGTTTTCAGGTCTGACTTTTTGTATCGAGTACAAGCTGACGCCTTCGGATATTGTTTCCAGCTGGGACGTTTTTTCTCTCAACAGGTCAGAATTTATTATGAGATAAAGGGAGTTTTTATGGGGTCAGAGAATTTAAGGAGATACGATTTCTTAAGGTTAAAGAAGGGGAGGTGTGGGAAGGAAGAAGTGGAGACAGGGGAAGAGGGACAGTGACGATTGAACTGTCATGTGAAACACGAGAACAAAAAGTTGTACTTGTTGGAGTTTTTGCTTTTCCCAGTACATTCTAGTGGAAGCTGCTACAAAAATTCTTAGAAAAAAAAAGTTGTTTTTTTTTGGGATTTAATTGAATGTCGGTTTGGTGTTAGGGACGTTTCATATCCAAAAGAGCGAATTCAGCGTGTTTTTCCTGTTACAGGGGGTTGGAATTAACGGTGCAAAGTGCCCATATGAGTGCATTCTTGCAGCAACTACAGAATGAACAACGAGATGCAATTATCAAGAAAGATCCTGGATTACATTTTTACTCTAATGATGTTGCTATGTGAGTTTCATGTATATTTTTGGTGATATTTTTGAAGTTGTCATTTCTATTTCTTAATTCTTTAGATTCTTTTAATGCATAAACCATTCGTCCGTTAAACAAGGGAGAAAAGAAAAGAAAAGTGTAAATCAGGGTTGTAAATCAGTACTAATTCCTCATTTTTGCTCGGGTCTTGTTTGTATATATTGTCTCTGACTCTGTATAACTTGCACAAGTTGATTTCATGATTGGTGACTCAAGATTTCTAACATTATGCACTTTTCATATCCAGTCCAAAGAGCAAATAAGATGTCACGGATCATGAGAATCTCCATTTTAGTACTTATCTCTTGGGTCTGCAAGTTGATATGTAATAATTGATTGAGGGACTGTTCCGTTCCTTCTTCTTGCCTGATTGAGTTTAAATAGGTCCTCCTTTTATGCCACAAGAGTGGATACATTGAAAGCTTGAATGTAGGCTAATGAATGATGAATATGAAGATACGAAAGAAGATGTTCTGCATAGCCCACAAGATCAGCCTCAAACACTGCAGAGAGAGCAATCTGATTCAGCTCAGAAGACAAATGGAAGCATTTTTGGCTCCCGAAAATTGTTAGAATCAGTGACACCTTTTGGGCAGAGAAAGAACAAGTTTGTGGTGCAATTCTCTCTTAATGAGCAATCTGCCACAGAGGCCATATGTGTTAAGCAAGAACATGATGACGAGAATTCAGAAGATGACATTATAAAGAGGGTGCAACCTAGCAAAAGGTGTTCTATAGTGATTAATGCTTCCCAGCCTGAGCCTGGTTGTAGATTTATGTATGATAGGATTGAACGCAAGGTAATCTAAGTTGTCACGGACTCATAATGTGCACAGCCTTCCCCATCGTGAGTTCCTTACTTTTTCTTATGGTCATTTAGTTTAGTTTCCTGGAAAATCGCATAAAAAGGCATGCAAGCAACATTGTGGAGACTGGGCTTTTTGAGGAACCAACAGACCCTACGGTTGCCTCCCAGGTAATATAGTGCTCCCTCTTGTATATATCCCCTTTTTCTGAGTCTGTTCATGTCAGTTGTTGGTCTTGATCAAACACAAAAGTCTTTGAGGAATTACGGAATTTAAATTGAGATTACTACTGTAGCATTTTCCTTGTTGGTTTTCTAGATCTATGTCATTCTTGCATAGAAAGTAAACTTGCATTCATTTGATAAACCGTGTTTCAGAAAAGTCTTTTTGCTGTTGGCATGATCTGCTGTGAAGAAGAAGGCCGTCTGAAGGAAAAGCCTATTTTGCTGCAAAGCAGGTAATGACTGTTAAACAAATTAGTATTGTTCATCTGCAGTTCCAGCAGAAAATTCCTCTGAAAGGAGAGGGTTGTTGGAGCTGAATCATTACTAGTTGATACGGTCAACATGTAAATTATAT